GCGGCGACCAGACTATAGATGCAGGCCACTGAGAGAGCCACTACAAAATATCTGCAAAAATGTTAAATATATGTTGATTAAAACAAATGAAATTAAAATTAAAATTATTAATATTTTTATCCTTTGGGTCTTTGTAATTAAGGCTTAATTAAAATGTTCATGTTTCATTCTATCTTTCGAATGGTTGGTCTTAGGGTCTGTTTGGGGCAGTTTCTATTTATTGAATAATCTGCTGATTAAAAATAATCAGCTGATAAACTAGGTGCGGCGACTATTACAAATTTTTTATGTTTCATTCTATCTTTCGGATGGTTGGTCTTAGGATCTGTTTGGGGCAGTTTCGATTTATTGAATAATCTGCTGATTAAAAATAATTTACTGATAAACTAGGTGCGGCGACTATTACAAATTTTTATTTTTTTTTTGGAAAAGTAAGACCGCCTTCAGAAACTTGTCACCACACCTAGATGGGTACGGTGTGAAACTGTTGTTTTCAGCGTTTTGAAAACGCATAAGTTGTCAAAACGTAACTTATCCAAACAGGTCAGATGTGTTTTTAAAACGCCACCGCAAACGAGTCCTTAAGCTTGTCCAGTTGGGTATAATTAATGCGATTAAATTATATCTCCTCAAGCTTTATAACAAGAAAAAACAAATAATTAAAATTATATAATAGTTAATTAATGTTAATAAAATAAAAAGATTTTGAGAAATGTTTTGGACTACAATAAAGGAATTACTTTATATTTCTTATACATTTTAAAACATATAAATTATTTAAATGCTGTTTTTTAAATTAAAGTAATTCCTAAATATGGACAAAAAATTTAAATGCTGTTTTTTAAATTATTAATTTCAGCCAAAATTTTCTGAAAAAGTTTTATCAATTTAGTTTCTTATGTCTTGAGTCTATCATTCAGAGTGATGGAGTCATGGAGATGTTATTAGTAGAAGCCCAATTGGTTGGTTGAAGTGGAGGAATTCATATGGCCTACTATGTGATATAAAATTATCCCACACACTTAAAATGAAAATCTTATAAGATGATTGTGAGACATGCAATGTTTTTTTGTCACGAGCGACTTGAATAGTATCTGTTTTGAATGTTGCTGAGATGAAAATGCTTAAGTGGACGAGCGGCTCGACACTTAAAGAGTCAAATTGCAAAACAATTGTATCTGTGAACGGCTTAGTGTAGCTCCAATGACAGATATGATTAGAGAGAGTCGTCTTAGATGGTTTGATCACATTAAATATCAATCTTCTAATGATCTGATCTGGGTAGGATAGTATATGTTTTAGATTTGACTCAGAGATAAACCTAAAAATATTTCGGCATATTATAATTGAATAAAAATATGACAATTAATAATAAAAATGAGCTAATAATTGTAAAAAAAATCTCACACGAAGGCAGAAGATTGATGGAACTTAGCAACAATGAAGAAATGAGCTAAAACCTCCTTCTTCTGCTCACTGGTGACCATCACAATTACAGCAGCCAAAGTTTTCAGGAAAAGCAGAATACGAAGAATAAGATCCATTATAAAGCGTCTGGTAGAGACAACAGGCCGAGAAGGAGAAGTAACAGAGTCAGTCTCACCCTTAGGAGAAGCCATTGAAGAAGAATGAAAGAGCAGACGAGGGTTTGGAATTAACTCAGGTTAGAAGTTGAAGTAATGGAGGTTAACTAAACCCCAAGCCATATAATTATATATATACAGTGGATTGGGAAGCTTTTCGTATAGTCTTAAATTACTCAGGAAGGAGAAGGCACTCTCGATTGGTGGACGTTAGCGTGCGTTCTACGTATATATATATATATATATATATACTTGATGAGTAGTATTT